TCCAGGACGCGGCAGGCGGGCAGCACGCGGGCCAGACGTGCCAGGCAGGCGCGGTAGCCCTCACCGTAGCTGTCCGAGGGCGCTGCGGACGGAAAGAGGCGTGAGGCGCGCGGTGGGGTGCGGGGCGGCGGGCGTGGGGCAGGGCTGCGGCGGGGCGGGCCACTCACTAGGCGCTGTGGCCGCGGAGGAGGACGCAGGCAGCTCCTGCAGGAAGCGCACGGTCATTTCCAGGATGTCCGCCTTCTCCAGCTTCGAGTAGTGGGAGCTCTGCGCCCGGCCACGAGGGAGAGGGGCAGAGACACAGACAAACGAGACAGCTCTCCCGCAGACTGCCGTGAGCACCAGTCTCTTGCCTGCGTGTCGGAGGCCCGTGGCCCAGGGTGGGGCGGCTCCTCGGCGCCAGCCCCACTCCGGCTCGGCCTCCCGCGCCGCGCGGAGCCCCCTCGCCGGCTCCTTGGGCAAGGGCCCCTCAGCCCACCCGCCCTCCTCGCGCTGCGCCCGGTGCCCCCACCCCGGCCCCGCGCGCCGCGGCACCCACCTCCCTGCCCAGCAGCGGCAGGATGAGCCCCTTGAGCTGCCTCAGGCTTGCGTTGATGCGCGCGCGGCGGCGCTTCTCCAGCAGCGGCTTCAGGCTCTGCGGACGGGCGCCGAGGCTGAGGTTACGCGGGTCGCAGTCCCGGTCCCCGCCCCGGCCGCTCAGCCCTCACTCCCCAGCTCCTACCTTGCGCAGCTCCGCCGGGTCCCCCGCTCTCCGAGGCAGCCCCATGCTCGGCGGGGAAGCGGCGCCGCTGCGGGCCCCGCGTGTAGGAGACCTGTGCCCGCGCGGACACGGAGCACAGACCCAGGCCCGAGGGGAAGTCCCGCGCGCTGCAGGAGCGGGCGCCGGAGGGGTGCACACCTCGCCAGCCGCCCGGCTTTAAGAAGGCGGTGTCGCCCGCCCCGCCCCATCCCTCCCCACGGAGTCTGGCTGCCTGCGGGTCCCACCTCCCGCCTTTGTTCCTTCGCCGGGTAGGGGAGGGACGGGGACGGCGGAGCCCCCGGGGTGCCCCTCCTGGCCTCCGCATCCCATCTGCGGCGGGGTCGCGGGCCGGGGGCGCACCCGAGCCCCTGCAGGGGTATGTGTGGGCGCCATCGAAGCCTTGGCTGCCCCGAACTCGCTCAGCCTGACGTTCCTCCTCGACCAGCACCGCCCTTCGAGCTCAGCGCCGCCTCTGAGCCCCGCCCTACGCCGGGGCGGGGGACCCAGCGGCTGCAGAGCCGCCGAGGCCCGGGCCTCAATGAGCCCCCACGTAGGTTTCTAGCCAAGGGAAGGGACTCCCCCCGAGAGTTGCTCTGCGGACTGAAGGGCCGAGCTGGAAGAGGACACCGAGTAAAGTGTCGACTTGCTCGGGCCCTAGCCGCTGGGAACTGGCTGGTCGCTGAACTGCCTGCCCTGGTTCTAGTCACTCCATAGAACCTTCCAGCGGTTCACCAAGTTAGGAATCATTGTGTTCTCCCGTGCTCAGTTTTGGATGGGTAAACTGAGGCCCAGAGAAGACGAGGCAATCCAGGAGCCCTGGGCTCATTTTCATTTCCACTGGCTCCAGCTGCGGGTTCCTACCCGCGGGACAGTCAGAGCGCACGTGACGAGCGGGGCGGGGCGGTCCTGAGTCCCTGCTCCCCGCTGCCCGCCTTGGCCCCAGCGGTCCGCTGGGCCCGCCTCCGCGCCGCGTGGCCGTTGCTGTACCAAACTGGCTGGGCGTCCCCCGCCCATCTGCTCCGGGCTGCCCTCCCTCAACCGGCTGGCGGGGCAACGGACAGCCCGGCAGCCAGCACTGAGGACTTCGGGGCCGACCTATGGGCGGATGGTGGGCGGGACCCACGGAGAGCGGCCGAGAGGAGGTACCCTGGCTCGGAGCCGGCAGGCGCTGTCCAGGGTGCTGGACGACTCCCCCAACTCGTGCCGCCCAAACCCCGCCTCCGCACCACACCCCCACCGCTCGCTCCAAGTCCCCCTACCCCATGCCCCCCAGCAGGGCCTGAGACGACCAGCATGGCTATCAGGGAGGGGCCCGGAGCAGTCGGGGTGACCGGGAACTCAGGCCACCCATCCCGGTCTGTGGCACTCAAAGGACCAACTGGCCACTGTTTATGGAGCATGTACTGTATGCCAACGACCTTTTAGCACTCACTTCAATTAATCCCCATAACAGTCTCTAATTATGAGAATAAAACATTCAATACATTTGGCCCAGCAAGGCCTGGGAATGTCTGAGCCCCTGTCCCTCTGGCATCACTGAGCCCAGAGTAGCTATGGGCCAGCCTCCTCCAAGGTAACGAATTGCTCTTTAAGTGCTCCAAAAAGGACTTTGTGGATTACTTAGTGGATCACTACTGCCTCACGTGTTCCCTCTCACTACACACATGCTGACTGACTTAGCTCTGTGCCCACGAGACCACCCTACACCAACATCTGCATGTTTGCTGAGAGACCCTGATGCTAGCTCCTGAGGGAAAGGTCTGGGGAGGAAGAGTCCTCCTAGAACATCCCCCTCCCTGCCTGTGGACCACAGGAGAGTGGGGTTGGGGAAGCAAACGCCCTTTTCGGTGACAGTTACTCCAAATTTTTTTTTTTAAAGATTTTATTTATTTATTTGACAGAGAGAGACACAGTGAGAGAGGGGACACAAGCAGGGGGAGTGGGAGAGGGAGAAGCAGGCTTCC